AGTGCTCAATAACATTCATTCTTTCTCTCATTACCGATGTAGGTCAAGCACAGTGTGATCTCTGTGGGTAGAGAGATCAGAGACCCAGCCCTATCACCCATGGAGTGCACCACCCAGTGAGAAGCCAGCAGCCACAGGAAGAGTGCCCATCCAGCCTGTGGTTCAGGACAGGAACACAGAGCACTTGGAGTGGGAGGAAGAAGAATGTGCAAAGGCGCCTGGTGGTGGAGCAAGAGGTGGAGCATGAGGGATGGTTCGGTTGGACAGTGCAGTTACGAGCAGAGTCCATGAAGATGAGGCTGGGTGGCAGGGAGAGAGCAGTCAGCAACTTCCTCCTCAGACCACCGTGGAGCTGGGGTTTTCCCCTGAAGTCAAAGGGGGACACCGAAGGATTTCATGGGGGACACAGGCAGGTCTCCTTTGAAAAAGACCACTCTCTGAATGGCAGACAAGATAGAGACAAGGGAATGTACCTGCACCTAATGACATATACTGTAATTGGCACGTTTAGATCATACTTATTGCTGGTCTCCTCCCAGCTGGACCATGTCGATGGAGAGAATGCTCTGAGATGCGGGATGGGGTGGCTGTGTCAGGACTTCCCTTGGCGGGGGTGTGATACGGGGAGTGTGGAGAGGCAGGAAAACAGAGGCAGAGAGGGGGGTGACTCCTGAGCTTTTGGCTTAAGGAGTGAAGGGGGCAGTGGTTTCACTTACTCTGGGAGGAAATGCTGCCTTTAGTTTAGACCTGTGAGAGGTCTGGTGGTGTGTGGCCAGACATTATTAGAAAAACAGATCCGTATCTCAGAGGCATGCTTTGAGGAAGACATGGGCTGATTGCAAAGCATTTCACCACTGGTAAAGCATGGGTGCCCATGCATTAGGATGAATGCTGGCCATGGGGCGGCACAGGGTCCTGCAGGCCCTCGCTGTGCCTGGGTGTTAACCTGTCAGTTGCTGGGCTGAGAGGAGGTCTACAGGTCTCAAGGGAGGCACTCCGGTGGCTCAGAGATACAGCTCTTTACCAAGCAGCACATTGGGTTGAAATACGATTACCTCTGGTATGGCTGCACATGGACGAGCCTGGAGCTCTTAAATGCATGCCCGGTGTTGTGCTAAACTAAACCCTGTCCACCCATGACCTCATTCAAACCTCACAACCACCCTGTGAGGTATCATCACCACCATCATCTCCATTCTGACAGGGGCAAGTGGTAGAGCTGTCTTCTCTCAAGTGTGCTGGTACTTTCACCTGGGAAATTTCACTGCAGCCTCTGATGCTGGATCACCTGCAATTTAATCAGCATCTTCAATAGTTTGTGCACATTTTCTGTTCAAAAAGCAGGGCAGCCCTAGCCAGTTTGGCTCAGTGGATAGAGTGTTGGCCTGCAGACTGAAGGGTCCTGGGTTTGATTCCAGTCAAGAGCACATACCTCAGTTGCAGGCTCCTCCCTGGCCCGAAACCTGATCAGGGCTCATGTAGGAGGCAACCAATTGATTTCTCTCACATCAATACTTCTCTTTCCCTCTCTCTACAAATCAACGGAAAAATATCCTTGATGAGAATTCACACACACACACACACACAGCAGGGCAACCGTGTTTCCTGAAAGTTCCCCTCACTCATGGAGGCATTCCAAGAGACATCCCTCAGCCCTTTGCAACCAGTTCTAACCACCCCCAGCACAGCCCTCGCAGAACTGACCACTCCCTCCTCTGTGCCCTATTGCCCCTGGCTAAGGCACCTGTCATTCCATATGACAACTACAGTCATCCCCACTGGAATGTAGGCCCCTGGAAGACAAGGAGCCTGTCACACACATCTTACATTCATTGATGCCTAGCAAACATCTGGCATGGGCTCAATAAAAGTTTGCTGAATGAGCAGACACATGAATGAGACTGAATTGTGATTAGTATTTGGAGTAAGATGGAGCTCCAACTGCCCTACCATCAGGAATATGTAAATTCATAATGCATCCCTTTTATTTTCATCACTTGAATGTTCACTTCTCGGATCCTTGTAGATATTTTCTACTATATTAAATAGCAATCTATTAAACTACTTAAGTCTAGGATTATAGACTACAGACATGATGGAAGAGCAAAAATGTGCCTGATGTAACCAAGCAACCTGAGAAAGAACTCAATTTAACTTTCTCGGGAGCATAGTTTATTTTGCTCACTTCCTCCCCAAATGAGGGCAAAACTAGTTGTTACAGCATATACTTATCAACTCTTAGACTTTAAAATAAGAATGGAGCTGAAACCAGTTTGGCTCAGTGGATAGAGTGTCCGCCTATGGACTGAAAGATCCCAGGTTCAATTCAGGTCAAGGACATGTACCTTGGTTGTGGGCACATCCCTAGTAGGGGGTGTGCAAGTGGCAGTTGATTGATGATTCTCTCTCATCGATGTTTCTAACTATCTCCTTTCCTTTCCTTTCTGTAAAAAATCAATAAAATATATTTTTAAAATAATAAAATAAAATAAGAATGGAGCTGCTGTCTGCATCATCAGCACCAGATCTGAAATATCATGGCTGACATGTACACATAAGGAACTATTTGACATTGAAACTGGGACTCAAAAGAACTGTTGACCCCAAAAGGAACTGATTCATTTGCCTCTCAGCATAACCATTATGGTTGGTCTCAGTTTAGGTTCTTACAAGGGTATTTCTTGGATCACATGATCTTACTCATCTACAGGAAATAATGAACAACATCAACTGATGAACAAAAACAGACCCAGAGACAGAGAAGCAGCGATCAGACTCTCAAACCTCAGCGGGAAAGTAGGGGAGGGTGGGGGTAAGGGGAAGAGATCAACCAAAGTACTTGTGAGCATGCATATGGGCCTAGCCAGTGGCCATGAACAGCAGGCGGGTGGGGACATATGTGGGGAGGGGTTTGGGATGGGAATGGGGGAATGAGGACAATTATGTTATACCATAATCAATAAAATTAAAAATAAGAATGCAAATGACTTCTCACACCTAGAGAGGGCCAGTCCTGATAGGCAAACTGCTTTGGGAACATTATGTGCTCAGAGGCATGAGGCCTTAGAGATGACTCTGGCGCCTAGAATGACTGACAGACGGAAGCTCAGAGAAACGACATATGCACTCAGGTCCTGGCCCATCTCTGCCCCCTGGGGTAAGGGATTGGGGGCGGGGTGGGGAGAGGAGCTCCTGCTGCTTCAGGCTCTGAGCCAGGACAGCAGGCGCTCACAGGTCAGTGCACTGGTGTTAGGTGAAGGATGTTGTCATGACTTAGAGGGGCTGGATTCAAATCTTGACCCTGCCATTTTCTTGCTAATGATCTTGCATGTTGCTTTTCAGCCTGATGCCCTGTTAAGTGGAAAATGATAGTGCCCACCTCCGGAAATATTAGCAGGAACAAACAGAAGCCTTTGTTAGGAAGCCTGATGTGTTTTAAGATGGAGCGCTTAGCATGATGCTAGCACACAGGCACTTACAAACCTCTGTGTCAGCTAGGAGGTAGAGGCAACCTGGGAAGTAAAGGCAACAAGCCCAGGTTTGTACTGGGGTCAAAGGTTGCCAGACGGTCTGAGACCCTGGTTCTCATACCGGCTGCACATTAGAATCGGCGGTGCCTTTAAAATCCCATCACCAGCCCTCTTTACACCTCCTCCCTCCCAAACCCCCGAGGGCAGGCCCGGGATTTTTCAAGCATCCAGAACGTTCAAATAACTGACAAGAGCGGCGCCAATCGAAAGTTCCAGGCCTAAAAGTGAGGCCATCCTGATTTCAGAATTGAAAAAAAAGAGTCTGAAAACTGAAAACTTTACCTTTCTAATCCTCTAATGCTGCACATCAGTAAAAGACATCGTGATTACTAAATTCTCTGAAAGCAACCACTCTGGAAAAGTAACAAAGCTCAAGTGTTTATTAAGAATTAAAAATACTGTAAATAAGCCATACAGTCCATTTCACAGTAAACTAAACAAACCTTTTTTTATCGTTTTCTTTTTTCCTCTTTTTTTTGAAAGGCAAGACAGCCATTAAAGAACAGCACAGCCCGAAGGGGAGGGAAACAGCAAACAACTACACAAAATGCACGCGCTCCTCACTTAACTCTCCCCGGGCTCCGGGGTGAAATAAAAAGACGAGGCCTCCACTCCCCAGGCGGACAGCCCAGGCCTTTGTGGGCAGCCGCCCTCACACGTTTCCTGAAAGAATCCAAGGACTCCCCTTGCAGGGGTTATAAACCTATGCATTTTGGGAGATCCCCACCAAGAGGCGGCACAGGACGGCCACAGGGGACTCTGGGGGGCATTGTGCCTTCACATTCATTCAGAACCGTCTGGATTCTTTGCATAGTTACCTTTGAGAAGGGGAGAGGACCCGGGAGAGGACAGGGAGAGGAAAAGGACACCCTGACCACAGGAGCCACAGTCCCTACCTGCTGCTTCTCGTCTGAAAAACGAGGGGCTCTCCCCCTCCCGATTCGGAGCTGGCATTTCTGAGTTTTAACCGGTTTCAAGTGGAAGACAAAAAGTGAGTGACATCTCCCGAACACTTCCTTCTTCCGGAAGTATAAAAAAGTAAAATGAATTTTCCTTAAAGGCAATCAGAGAGAAAAAATGCCCCTCCCCCCACTTTTTTTTCTGCTTCCGATCTGCCAGCCAGGCAGGCTTTTGTGAGGTTGGCGTCCATCTGCTGGTTCATCCTCAGGGAAACCATACCTGCTCTCTGACACCAGAGACATCCCTGCGGCCCTCAGGAAGCCAAGCAGAAGCTGAACGCCTGAGAAACCAGTGGTGTGTGGCAAGGACCGTAAATAAATTAACCGCGCACGGAAAATACAAAATGCTGTGGGGCTCCAAGTGGGGTCCCCTGCCCTTTCGGAGGGGACTAGAACGAGAGGGGGAGGAGCGCACGGGAGAAAAATAACACTTTTTTTCTTTTTTTCTTTTTTTTTTTTTTTGGTCGTGAGAAATTGGGACTTTCCACCGCACCCTGCGAAGACAATCCGTTTAGACCTTTTCGTGAATCTTTTCGACTTGCACAAACAACCTGTCCAGGTCGTGCCTCAGGTCGTCCAGCAGACCCTTGGCTGATTCCAGGTTGTTCTCGTTGGTCTCGATTTTCACCGAGTAGGCCACCAAGCTGTCCACGGCAGTCCTGAGCATCTTCAAGTCCTGCTCCACTTGGCTGACGGAGGACTTGAGGTGCTCCAGGGAGGACAGTCTGTCCAGGAGGTCCTCTGGCGGCAGGTGGCCCGCGGGGGCCTGGTCCTGGCCCAGCAGCGTGTGCACCTGCTCCTGGACCTTGTGGAGCGCGTCCACGGTGCTGGGGAGCTCGCCCAGGCTCCTCTTCAGCTCCTCCACGTCGCTGTGGAGCGAGAGCTGGGCCTCCCCGAGGCTCCGCATGGTGCTGGCCAGGCCGCCCCTGTCCGCCTCCTCCGCGGAGTCCCTGCCGTCCAGGCGCTGCTGCAGGGCGGCCAGGCGCTGCTCGCACGCCTCGCTCCTGGCCAGCAGGGACTCCAGGCTCTCGCTCTGCCTCGCCGAGGCCGCCTGCACGGCCTGGACTCCGTCCTCCACCGTCTGCAGCCGGGCGTCCAAGCCCTGGCTCTTCCTCTGGAGCGCGTCGAGGGCGTCCGAGGGTTTGAAATGCCCGTCTTCCTCCGGCTCCAGGGACCGGGCCTTCAGCTGGCCCAGCTCCTCCGCGAGCCTCCGGACCTCCACGGGGAGGCGGGAGGTGGCCTCCTCCGCCTGGAGGACCTTCTCCGTGAGGGCCTGCAGCGTCAGGTGCTCCGAGTCGGCCGCCTCCTTGAACTTCTGCTGCTCCTGCTTGAGGCTCACCAGCTCTTTGACCTCGGTGTAGACGTCCGACTCCATGGTCTGCAGGGTGCTTCTCAGGGCCTCCAGGTCCCTCTCTTTGGACTTCAGGGAGGTCTGGATGTCCTTCACGGCCTCCTTCAGGGCCTTCAGCTCCCGCTCGTCCCCCTCCGAGTGCTCCAGAGAGGCCACCTTCGCCTTCACGTCGTTGATCTCCTTCTGGCTCCTCTTCTGGACCTCGGTGAAGATGGCGATGTTGTCGTTGATGGACTTGGTGAGCTCCGTCAGCCTCTCCTCCACCGTGTTCTCGAGGGACGTGAAGTCCCGCTCCCGGGCATCCTTCACCACGTGGATGCCGTCCGAGAGGTCCTTGAGGATCTCGTTCTGGAGCTTCTGCAGAACCTCGCTGATCCGGTTGATCTCGCTCTCCCCTTGCTTCATGACTTTCTCCGCGAGCTCTTGCTTATGCTGGAAGGTTCTCAGGAAGGACTCGAAAGTCCCCAGGGTGGCTTGCAGAGACTGCACCTGTAACCAAAGTCCAGATGTTAACCGCTAAGGAGAGCTGATGCGTGTTATGCTACACAACTCATTTCTTTTTGTCTGCCCAGCCTCTGAGTCTCTCCTCTTTTAGAATGGCCCCCCCAATTTTCCTTTGGAGAACCATCCTTTCACATACAACCTATGTGGTTTGGGGGACCAACCTAAGGGCCCCCCCGCCCAAGTGCTCCAGGGATGGTTTCTGACATCAGGCTTAGCCAATCAGCACTCTCCATCCACCTTCCCCCCAAAATTGAAGCCACAGTGATTAGCCAAGCAATGGGCATATGGCCTAAAGCAGGCCAACAAGTCAATTCCACAACTTCCTTTAAACCCACTCAGAAGGAAAGCCACTTTCTCCTGGAGACTGCCAGCTACAGAAGGAGGGAGCCTGGAGCAGAGCTACACAGACCAGCACAGGAAGAACTCGGGTCTAAGGACGAAGCCGGCACAGAGGGAAGCCGAAGTGAGAAACATGATAGCAAGATCAAGGTCTGAAGATACAATCTGGAATCCCGGATGCAGCTCTACCTGAAGGAATCTCTCCCCACCCACTGCTCTTTGAGCCAAGCTCCTAGCTTTTGCAAGAGAAAGAGTCTCACAACTTTTCATGGAAAAATTAGCTGAGGCACGTGGGAGACACTGGGCTGGGAGGCAAGAGACAAGGGCCCGGGTGTGTCACCGCTTTTAGCTGAGTGGCCCTGCACAAGTCATCGTCCTTACCTGCAAAATGTGAGCGGTGGGCCAGGTGACCCCTTAGCATTCTCTGGCTCTGCGAACAGGTTATGATCCCGTTTGCCATTTTAAATAAATTCTACCCTAAACAAGGTCTGACCTGGGAACTACCCCAGGGAGCTGGCTTAATGTACTGAGAGGCTGACAGAGGATGATTAATGGCCCGGGCTTTATCACACAGAATGCTTCCTTACTCACATACAACAGGAAAAAGAGCCTGAATCTACCAAGTCCCTAATTTTTTGTGAATTGGTTAGTCACCAATTCACAAAAAAACACACTAGTGAGAACAATATGCCAGGAGGAAGCAATCAGCCAAATCCACAAAGTGGAAAATTCCACAGGACAAATAACCAGGATCTTCAACAAGGCAGTGGCATTTTAAATGGCATCGTAAAAGGGAGAAAGACAGCAGGCGATTGTAGGTTAAAAGAAATGTAAAGACTTGTCAATCAAATGTAATGTGCAGACGTAAATGGATCCTGATTCAAACAAACCAACTGCAAAAGAGACATTTCTTAGAGAATCGGGGAAATCTTATTACGAACTGGGTATCAGAAGATAATAATCCTTGTTAACTTTGTTAGGTATAATAGACTGTGTTTTGTCGAAAGAAACGAGAAAAAAAAAGAGAAGCTTGTATCTGTTAGAAATAAATCCTAAAAATACTTTGGGTGTGTCAGTCAGGGATTAACTTTATTTATTTATTTTATTTATTTATTTATTGGGGGGGGGGGGGGATTAACTTCATAATCACCGTTTCCCCGAAAATAAGACAGTGTCTTATATTAATTTTTGCTCCCAAAGATGCACTAGATCTTATTTTCAGGGGATGTCTTATTTTTCCACGAAGAAGAATACAGTACACATTTATTGTTAAATGAAAATAAAGGAAATTTATTACCTGTATATGGTACGGTAGTACGGTAGTTGTCAACACAAACCAGACAAACTGTGAATCCTACAGTATCGAGAATTTACTCATTTATTCAATGACAATCATGTCATCATCTTCTGGAACATCATCATAACAATCCAATTCCTGAATTTCCTGGTGAATTTCTTGTGACTCCATTTCTTTCAGAATCAGTGGACCAAATCTCTCATGTTTAGCCTAGGGGAGCCTTATTTTCGGGGGCTGCCTTATATTTCATTTCGGAGGAGGAAACCTGTAAGTAGGTCTTATTTTCGGGGAAACACGGTACCGAAAATAAGACATCTCCAAAAATAAGACCTAGCGCAACTTTAGGAGAAAAAATTAATATAAAACACTGTCTTATTTTTGGAGAAACACGGTAGTTCCGAGTTCACTATCCACGGGTCTGTCAGGGTAACACGGGCCTTTCAGAGGACCTAGAACCAACTGGCACTGTTTTCTGAAGCTCTGCACCCACTTGTGCAGCTGAATCTCCTGGGTAAGGGCAGGCTGGCTTCTCTGCCCAGACTGTAACCATTCAGAAGACCTGGGCCGTTTTCCAAAACTGGGAACCAACAGAAACCAGGTGGGCACTCAACAGGGCAGTGGAGTAGAGTGCTTCAGGATCAAACTGCGTGGAGAAAGGGGTGGCAATGGAATGAAACAATAGGGGGGAAAATGATATTGAAATTGGGATTCATTATATTGATCTCTTCTTTTGTTTATGCTTCAACATTCCCATGATTAGAGGTTAAGAAATAGTGTGGGCTCCAGAATCAGACTGCCTATGTTCATAGCCCAGCTTGGACACTTCCTGTGTGCTCGTGGGCAAGTAACTTAACCTGGGGTCAGGGCACCCCAGGACCTTCCGCTCCCCCACTCAGGACCTGTGCGTGACCTTGGTTTCCTCAGCTGCAGGATGGAGACAAAAATAGTACCCGATTCAGGATTGTCTTGTGAATTAACCTATGTAAAGTGCTTCGATTGTGCCTAACACATAGCAAATGACCAACAATTGGTAAGTGGCATCTTCGTTGTTGTTTAATCTTTCTTTTGAAGCAGCTCAGAAGCCTGCAGATTCCTAGACCACCCTGAGCCCAATGCCAAAGGAAGAATGCTACAGGAATGGGAACAGGACACCTGGGCTCTCTCGTTCCAGTCCCACCAGTAACAGGCTCCGTGGGCACAAATAAGTCACACTTGCTTCCCCAAGTCCCAAGCTCCTTGTCTATTAACAAACAGGTTTCTCATGTCCCTTCTGGCTTCTACCGGTCTGTGATTTTAAGATAAATTAGACTAAAGTTCTCAGGGACTCTAGGATATTAAACAATTCTCCTGCCCAACCAAATATAACCTGAATCATTAAGGACAGTGGAGAGAACTCACCTCTAAAACTAGGTTATGTAATCACAGTACTTGCCCGTTCTAAGCATAACACTCAGAATAGAGATGTGAGAGCAGTACCTGCGACACTTGCACGTGTTTGCCAATGTTTTCTGAATGAATCAAAGGATAAATGAATTAACAGAACAAAATCTAATGAGGACCAAGCTGGTCCATTTCCCTGAATGTCACTCTGGGCTGGCTCTTTACAAATGGCTAGGAAGGGGACTATATCAGAAATTACGAATGAAGTCAAACAAACCAACCCTCAACATTATAGAAAGAACATAGAAAGTATGCCCTCCCTCCCCCCCCCCTTCGGGGTACTGATGCTATTGGTTGTTCTTTTTACATGCAAAAATCCTTATTATAATTAACTAGCGGCCCAGTGCACAAATCCGTGCACACTGAAAGGAAATTAATTAGAATATTTTAATATTGCTATTTGCCCTTTCTCTATAATATAAGTGTCAACCAAATTCACAATCGACAATGACAGACGGAAACAACATGTGTGCGATTGGCGCCAGGGAGAGTTTTATATGTATTGCTCATGCAACTTAGCCTTTTATAGATGTAGAATAAACTTGCTTAATTAGACCTGCTTTCTGATGGAGCTAAACTTTTTCCAGCCCAGCGAAGCATCCCCTCTCTTTCAAGTAACTGTCAGCAACACAGCAGTAAATATCAACACGAAGCAGATTATTATCGTAGATCATCTAGGGAGAACAAAGGGTAAAATATTTACCTGCAGCAGTGTTTGATTATATTCTGCACAGTGAGAAAACCTGAAGTCATTTTCAAGGTCCACCATTTCTTACTTCTTTCAATCAGGTTAAGTTTCTTAACGTTCTAAATTTCCTTTTCCGGTTAATGAAAAGAAAACAGGATTCCACTGAGTCTCCTATCTACCTACTCCAGGACTTCTGTGAGGATCAAATGAGATGAGGCACGGGAAAAGGCTTCACAGACATTTGGTTAAAGTGTGAAATGTTTCCACCTGGCTATAAAGCAAGTCGTGTTCCTGGGCTGAAGAAACTGCAAAGAGGCTAGTCATCACTAGGGAGAGGAAGCCAGACATTACTACATGACATCATTACCCAGATGGATATTAGCCTTTAGATATAGATAGATACCCTGTTTCCCTGAAAATAAGACAGCGTCTTATATTAATTTTTTCTTCCAAAGTTGTGCTGGGTCTTATTTTCAGGGGATGTCTTATCTTTCCATGCGCTAGGTCTTATTTTCGGAGGATGTCTTATTTTCGGGGAAACAAGGTAGGTAGGTAGATAGATAGATAGATAGATAGATATGCAATGGATGCATCTGTTCCTCAAGTGATGGGTACTGGACAAGATGTCAAAGATAAAATAACAGCTAAGACAGGATCCCTGACCTCAAGTAGCTCACAGCCTGGGGAAGGAGGATAGTGGTGACTGTCATTCATTACTATATACAAAGATATATCATCTCATTCCATCTTCATAATAATCTCATGAGTTGGTGGCTCCCATTGATCATTTTACAAGTGAGGAGCCATAGAAGAGGAAGAGCTGAGGATCAACATCCCTGAAGGTGGGACTTCAGAGGCGGAGCTCCCCTACGCAGTATGCTTGGGCAGAGGTGTGTTCAAGTGCACCGAGTGCCTGGAGGTGCTGCCTAACTCTGAAGCCGACTCCTGGTCAAAATGGGAAAACAAAGAAGTATGACCAGAGAACTCACTTCTACAAACAACAAGTGGTCTCATTAAACCGCCCCCCCTCCCCCTACTAGGCCTAAGCTGACTCCTTCGACCACTTTAGGCCATCCTGGATCTGCCAGGGCACCCCAGGACCTTCAGCTCCACCGCTCAGGGTCTGTGTGGGACCCTGAACCAGTAACAACCGCTCTAGGCTCAGCTGGCCCCTCTGTGAATAAATGACACATGCTTCAGAGGGTGGCTGGGAAGCACTTAAAAGAATGCCCGGTGTTAATATGTGAATACTAATTATAAAAAACACACTGTAGGTATAATACTATGAATAATAATAGTGAACACTAATTATGAATAATAACACTGTCAATATATGTCCTTGTTGAGATCCAAACCTCAGCCCTAACCAAGCCTGATATCGAGGTATAAGGTTTCTAACTTAGGTTGTCAGAGGACCCACTACTCAATCCAAAATAACTTACTTACTGTCCACCCAGAGTTGCACACAGAAGGGACCACATACTGTGGCAAATCCTAATACTGTTCTGGGAGTGTTCTGAGTTACAAGTCAACGGAGTAAGCATAAATTGAGCACTACTGCGTACCAGGCAAGGCACAGGAAAGATAACAAAATGGACAGATGAGTGGTTAAGAGTGTTCCGGGATACCCAGCCAGCATGGCTCAGTGGTTGAGTTTCGACATATGAACCAGGAGGTCATGGTTCTATTCCTGGTCAGGGCACATGCCTGGGTTGAGGGCTTGATCTTCAGTGTGGGGTGTGCAGGGGGCAACTGATCAATGATTCTCTTCATTGATGTTTCTCTCTCTCCTTCTTCCTTCCTCTCTGAATTCAAAAAAAATGTATTTTTTTATAAGTGTTCTAGCCCTAGCTGGTTTGCTCAATGGATAGAGCACCGGCCTGTGGACTGAAAGGTCTTGGGTTCGATTCCAATCAAGGGCACGTGCCTGGGTGTCAGACTTGATCCCCAGTAGGGGGTGTGCAGGAGGCAGCCAATCAATGATTCCCTCTCATCATTGATGTTTCTCTCTCTCCCTCTCCCTTCCTCTCTGAAATCAATATATATATATATATATATATATATATATATATATATATATATATATTTTTTTTTTTTTTTTTAAGTGCCTGGGAACCGAAACCAGTTTGGCTCAGTGGATAGAGCGTCGGCCTGTGGATGGAAAGGTCCCAGGTTCGATTCTGGTCAAGGGCATGTACCTGATCGATGTGTTCTCTCTCATCGATGTTTCTAACTCTCTCACTTCCTCTGAAAATAATCAATAAAAATTATATTAATAAATAGATAAATAAAGTGCCTGGGAGACAACAGTGATTTGAACCCTAGCCCTGCCATTTACTAGCTGTGTAGCTATGCAAAGTCACTTGTGTCTCACTTTTCTGAGGGGGATCACAGTACAACTGACCCTTGAGCAATGTAGGAGTTAGTGGTGCCAACACCCCTGCTGTCGAAAATCCACATACACTGCCGGGACCGGTTTGGCTCAATGGATAGAGCGTCGGCTTGAGGACTGAAGGGTCCCGGGTTCAATTCTGGTCAAGGGCATGTACCTTGGTTGCAGGCATATCCCCAGTAGGGAGTGTGCAAGAGGCAGCTGATCGATGACTGTCTCTCATCGATGTTTCTGGCTCTCTATCTCTCTCTCTTCCTCTCTGTACAAAATCAATAAAATATATTTAAAAAAAAAAAAAAAGAAAAAGAAAATCCACACACACCTTTTGACTCCCTAAACCTAACTACTAATAGCCTGTTGACCAGAAGCTTTATCATTAAGAGTGTCAATTAACACATAATTTGCCTGCATTCTATATGTAATATACTGTATTTTTACAATAAGTTAAACGAGAAAATAAAATGTTATTAAGAAAAGCATACAGTACAGTAGGTATATAGTAAGAAATCCACATATAAGTGGACCTATGAAGTTCAGACCCGTGTTGTTCGGGGTCAACTATACTTACCCCTTGGGGGTTGCTGTTAAAGAGATGAGTGCACAGTAAACACGATGCATTAAATAACAATTAACATATACCGTGTTTTCCTGAAAATAAGACATCCTCCAAAAATAAGACCTAGGGCATCCCCCAAAAATAAGGCCCCCTCAGGCTAAAATGAGAGATTTGGTCCACTGATTCTGAAAGGGAGTCACAAGAAATTCACCAGGAAATTCAGGAATTGGATTGTGATGATGATGTTCCAGAAGATGATGACAGGATTGTCCTTGCATAAATGAGTAAATTCTTGATACTGGAGGATTCACAGTTTGTCTGGTTTGTGTTGACAACTACCGTACTACCGTACCGTATACAGGTAATAAATTTCCCTTATTTTCATTTAACAATAAATGTGTACCGTATTCTTCTTCGTGGAAGAATAAGACATCCCCTGAAAATAAGACCTAGCGCATCTTTGGGAGCAAAAATTAATATAAGACACTGTCTTATTTTCAGGGAAACAGGGTAGATCTCCACTCATCCTACCCTGCCCACCGGGATCCAGGCCCCGGCAAACTCCACGCCCTCTCTCTTCTGGACAGTTCCCCATTTTCCCTGATACAAATCTACTTTACGTGCAGCTTCACAAATGATTCCTGTCTTTTCCACTTCATACCCTCCACGGGGCCTACGTGAAGCCATCTGACTATCAGACTTCAATAAATATTATGATTGATTGGTTAAGTGGGTGGATGATAAGGACGGAATGGGAGCCTAGTGATTCCACTCCAACAGCATTTCTGGTTTTTTTAGGAATGATTGAACACACTCAGGATAGGCAAAGCAGCACTGCCTACTCGATTCAGAAAAAGTCACCTCCCGTGGCCTGCAGCACTGAGCAGACTGACTCATCCCAGTGGCTCTGCTTGTCTGAGTGGGGAACATTCCCAGTCCTGCAGACTCCACAAAAGTGGAGAGGAACTTGGCAGGCCAGGCGGCATGCTGGGAAAAGGAGGCAGCAGTTTTCAGCCTCAGAAGTGCTGGCGGGATTTTTTTTTTTTTTTTTTTTTTTTTCAATCAGGCAACCAACTTTCATTGAGCAATGACATTGGTGGAGGTCGGAGGAGGAATGAGATGTGAGGTTATAGCACTTAGGGTGGGAAAACACGCAGAGAAGGATGGAAGCTAAGCAACTGTGTGCTAAAAATCTGGGTCCACCCGCACACCTGAAATAGGCCCCCTGCGGACCCTAAAGTGGGCACTGGACTGGACACTCTCACGCAGCCTGCCACTCACTAACTGGGGTCTTTCTCCATTCACTTCATCTCCCTGACCCTCCGGTGTTCTGGTCTGAAAAATGCAGTCAAAACCGCCAGACCCACCTCCCGGATCCCAGGGTTGCTGCGAGGATTAGATTACAAGTGAGTAAGCCTCCTAAACACCACCTGAGCGGCATTATTCACCGGCAGTGATGACCTACGAACTTGGCCCTTTCCTCTTCTCTTCCGCTGGAGAGCGTGCTGCTGCCTCAAAGGCCCACCTGGGCTCCTGGGTCCAATCAAAGGACAACGGGACCCACGGATATGCTCTTATTTCCCTTGAACTTCGCAAATGCATAAGACTCCCAGGTCTTCCTTCCCCAGGCTCCGGATCTAGGAAACACTGGCTCAGATGCCCCCACTGGGAGCGCAGAGATACCTGGGGCCTTGCCAGAGGCTTCCAGGGATGCGCAGCCTCCTCTCCAGACAAGTTCTGCCCACTCAGCGGTTCCTAATCCAACAAGAATGGGGTCCCCCCGAGCCTGCCTGCTTCCTCACAGGTCACCGCTCATGGCCAGGGACAGGCCTGGGCCCACCGTGGCGGAGGCGATCCATCCCTCGGGGCCCATTCCTCCGCAGCCATTCACAAAGGGGGTCAGGGGGCCCGGGGGCAGCCCGGGGGCCGGAGGAGGGGCCGGGCCGGCTCGGGCCACGGATCCTGGGGCAGGGCGAGGGGTCCTGCTGCTGTGGGGGCGGGGATCGGGGGTACCCACCTTCTGCTCGACGCCCTGCAAGCCCTGCCCGAGCTCGTCCCGCTGGCGGCACAGGTCCCGGTGGCTGCTCCGCACCTCCTGCACCTCCTCCAGGACGTGGTGGACGCACCAGCCCGAGAAGGCGGCCGCGGCCACCAGGACGAGGTAGAAGAGCCAGTTGAGCGCCCGGCCGAGCCTGCGCGAGCAGGACGCGGAGGACGCGGCGGCGGCGGCGGCGGCGGCGGGGGCGGACGAGGCGGACTTGCCGCCGCGGTGGCCCTTGCCGTGCGCCGGGCCGGGCGGCGGCGGCGGGTGCTGCTGCGGGTGCGGCGCGGGCGGCGGCGGCTGCTGCGGCGGCGGCTTCCTCGCCACGTCATCCGCGCCGCCCGACGGGTGGGCGCCCTTGTCGGCGGGGCTCGCGGCGCCGTGGCCGCCCTTGGAGCCCCTTTGTTTGGCCGAGGGCATGGCGAGCGCGGCGGGGCGGCGGGGCCGCGGCGGCGGGCGGGCGGGCGGGCGGGGAGCGGGACGCGCGGCCGGGAACCGTGCGCGGCTCCCCCGGGGCTGGCGAGCGGCACGCGGCGCGGCGGGCGTCGGAGCGGCCGGGAGAGCGGCGGGCGGGCGGCGGGCGGCGAGGAAGGAGGCCGGCGGGGAGGAGGGAGCAGGGAGGAGAAGGAGGAGGAGGAAGGAGGAGGAGGAGGGGGCCTGCCTCCGCCGCGCGCGCCGACCCCGCCTCCCGGGAAGGAAGGCCGGGCGCCGGGGAGGGGGCGGGGGAGCCTGCCACGCACGCGGGCGGCGCGGCCCCTCCCCGGCCGCCACGACCCCAAAGAGGAGGGCCCCCCGCGGGCCGGCGGGGCGGGGCGGGGTCTCGGAGGGCGGAGGTGGGTGTGGGGATGGGGATGGCGGAGACCGATCGCGGTCTACGGGGGCCGAGGGCTGCGGGCTGGCCGAACGGGACTCCCGGGCCGGGGCTGGCGGCTGCGATGGGTGGGGGGGGAGGTGGGAGGGCGGCCGGGCGGGGTCTGCGGAGTCGGGATGGCCCCAAGGGAGGGGGCCAAGGACTGGGTGGGCCGGTGCTGAGACTGGCGACTGAGCTGGGGCCACGGGGGCCTCGGGGATAGGCGGCCGAGGTGGGGGTGGCCAGGCCGGGCGGGCCGGAGGGAGGAGAGTTGGGGATGCCACGGCGCAGAGGGCCCAGGGCGCGCCCCCCTCCCTCCCTCCCTCCCTTCCTCTCGGTCCTGTGCGGAGGGAGGAGAGGAAGGAGGGCGCCCCGGGACCCTGCCCCTGGGAGTAGGAGTAAGGGGCGGGAACAGACTCCCTCCCCAATTCCTTCCCGCTGGGAGTTGGGGCATCCCCGCACCCCCCTCCCCCACCTCCCGTCCCCACATGCCATCCTCCAAGCCCGCCGCGGGGCCAGGCCCTGTCTCTTTCCCTGGGTTGGAAGGCGGAGGCTGGAAGAGCTGTCCCTAAAAGCCAGTCCACCCGGAGGCGTGCGTGGGACAGTTAGCGAAGATTCTCGGACCGTGTGAAGTCTGTTCCTGGAAACACACGTATTGAGTGTCCCCTTAGCTTTTTTTTTCTGGACGGGGGGAGTCGGGGGTGTCCCGCAGTCTGTCCAGAGCCCTCCTAGCGCCAGGTTCTGGAAACCAGCAGCAGGGCACTGCCGGGGAGGGGATAGGGTTGTGGCCCCTTCTTTGGCAGGAGCAAATATATCGAGGTCAAGCAAGACTGTATGTAGCAACTTACACGTGTTCTTAAAACGACAGAAGCCCTGTAAGGTCGTAATTATTCTACCTGTTTTACAGGAAGGAAACTTGAGGCTGGAAACTTGACTGGCTCAAGGTCACATTCAGCCACCTGCTTCTTCCAGAGTCTGTGCTGCTTCATCACTTCAGAATGGGAAGGAAATAAAGCAACTTCCCACTCCAGGGCTAATTGCTGCTGCAGTGGGGACCGAACCCCACTACACTGCTCTCCTCCCCAACCTGGTGTCCGGTGTGTGTCCGGCATTGGGTGTGCCCGGCAACGTGCTGTAAGAAACACAGTTTCTTCTGCCTGTTCTCTCGATTCTTTTTTTTTTTTTTTAAACACTTCCTGTTCTTAAGGCCGAGCTCCAATGCCTTCCCTATAACAGCACCTGGTACCTCTCAGGGGGACTTTGGGACAACAAATAATTGAACATATATATGTTCGACATAGCAAGCCTTTGGTTAGCTCCCACTGTGTGGCAGGCAGATGTCTGCAAACCATTAGCTCCCCTCCTTGAGGACAGGAAGCAACCACTGCTTGTATTTTTCTTTGTATCTCACCTGGGAAGGCGCTTTTAAAAATCTCTAGTGAATGAATGAACACATGAGTGCCTGCCCTCAAGGGGCCTGCATTGCCATTGGAGAAATGTACAGGGACATTTTGAAGCTAAATTGAGAATATACATGGAAAGGGAACTTGGCAAGCAAACCCATGGGGAAGTCTTCTGGGCCAGAACGGTCTTGAGCAAAGCCTTGAGAAAACGGATTTGCATAGGAGGAGAGCAGGGAGGATATTTCTGTGACAAAAATGGGGTGAGCCCAGGACACCTGCCTGATCTGAAGGGTGTGTGGTGCAATAGAGGAAAGAAAGAGCTGAGCTGGGTGGAGTGGTTCCAGATTGCAGCCAGTCAGCCAGCCAGCCAGGCGGGAGAGTCGCTATTAGTGTGGGAGGCTGGAGCAAATTATAGTGGGTTCCACAAATATAATCATGTGCACCTAGTTCAACCAGCCACACAACTCTGACCTTGGGTGGGGGTTGGGGACGGAAGATAGAACATTAACTCATCAGAGGGGGCTAGGAAAGCCTTGTTTAAAACTTTAGCTGAGCCGAAACTGGTTTGGCTCAGTGGATAGAACATCGGGTCCCAGGTTCGATTCCGGTCAAGGGCATGTACCTTGGTTTCGAGCACATCCCCAGTAGGGGGTGTGCAAGAGGCAACTGATCGATGATCCTCTCTCATCGATGTTTCTAGGTCTCTATCCCTCTCTCTTCCTCTCTAAAAAAAAAATCAATTAAAAATAAAAAATAAAAAAACTTTAGCTGAGCCGAAACCGGTTTGGCTCTGCGGATAGAGCATCGGCCTGTGGACTGAAGGGTCCCGGGTTTGATCCTGGTCAAGGGCATGTACCTTGGTTGCAAGCACATCACCAGCGGGGGGTGTGCAGGAGGCAGCTGATCGATGTTTCTAGCTCTCTATCCCCCTCTCTTCCTCTCCGTATAAAATTAATAAAATATATATATTTTATAAAAAGGCATGCAACTTTAAAAAAAAACACACTTGTATTAAAAAAAAAAAAAAAAAAACTTCAGCTGAAGTTGAGTTCTGATTGTGTTTAGACTTTCTAGCATACACAAAAGCGATCATCCTCCCTCAAGCAGCCACCCATATGAAGGCAGAGACAGCAATCACTTGCAAAATAGCTTTGGGGGCCCAGCCAAGCTCGCCTGGGAGGCAGGAGCCCTCCTTTGTTAGCCCTAAATCTGCCACCAAACTGTGACCTTGAAACTAGCACTTAACCTCCTCTCTGGATTTCATGGTCACCCACTCTGCATCTCTAAATACCTTTCTTATTACTGATCTAGTTGTTTAAATGTATTTTTCTTGATTTCAAAGAGGAAGGGAGAGGGAGATAAAAATGTCAATGATGAGAGAGAATCATTGATCAGCTGTCTCCTACACGCCCCACACTGGGGAAAGAGTCTGCTATCAGGGAATGTGCCCTGACCTGGAATTGAACCATGACTTCCTGGTTTGTAGGTCAATGCTCAGCCACTGAGCCACACCAGCTGGGCTATTAATCTATTTCTTAGAGAAAATAGTCATCTGATTGTTATCAGAAATAATTAAATATTTAAAATTTTTAAGTTGATTTAGACTATAAGCCAGCTATAAAAATGAGGGTTTTGTGTGTGTGTGTGTGTGTGTGAGTGTGTGTGTGTGTGTTTTCCCCATTTTCTGACTCTACCGAGCCCTGGAAGAATAGAGGAGAGCAGGAGGGGACTATTACTATTTTCAGTATTTCTCCTTCCTCCTTTTCCTCTGGGGGGTAGTGAAGTGTAGTGGTTAAGACACAGGGTCTGGAATAGACTGACTTGCGTTCAAAGTCATTTTTGTGACACACGGGATGACATGACCTCTGAATCTCTGTCTTCATCTGTGAGACGGGAGTAAGAAGAACTACTTCACCAGATTGTTGTGAGGATTAAATGAGAGACAGCATATAACACTGGGCATATAGCTAGGCTGAGTGAATAAAGGAGAGCTAACACAATTTGCAGAGTCATTGAGGGGAACGTATAGCTGCACATCCAGGTTTCAATGATTTTCTTTCATCGCTATTTCTTGGCGCTCCCAGCACCGTATGTGGCTTATAGACCACAGGCTCTGATGTATTTAACTGGACAAAGCAGGCACTGTTTTCCCCTGAAGCCTGGTTCCACGGTGGCATTTGGCTGCACCCAGAGGAGGAGGTGGTAAGTAGTCATGAAAGAGCATCTTCTAGGGCAGGAAGGCACTGACTAGTCTCCATGTAGGAGGTTTCCAGTCTTCTGCCCCATCTTCTGAGTCAGCACAGCATGGAAGTTTGTGGAACTTTCCCTTCTTTCCCCTCTAGAGTTCTTCTCTCTCCCTTTTCCGCTTTGTCCTCCCTCAAGTGTGTTGATGGCCCCCCAAGATGTGCAACAGCTGGAGACAATGAAATACTGAAACACAAAAAGGCTGGGGAAGTGGGCCTAGGCTTTGGCTCCATAAGAAGTCAGAGAAAAGGAGGCCTGGGGACAGGTTGGGGCAGGGAGGAAGGTGGGGAGAGGAGTAGGGAGAGGAGGGAGGGTTGCCTGGATGAACTGTCACTGCCCACTGCTGCCCTGGTTGCAAGCTTCGTGGGGTTCCTTAGAGTTTAGGACAGTGGTCGGCAAACTGCGGCTGGCGAGCCACCTGCGTTTGCCACCCTGTTGACTAATGAGTTTGCCAACCACTGGACTAGACTAAATGTTACCGAGTAGTTGGAAGCTACGAGGATTAGGCAATTGTGGCATATTGTGTGCAAAGAGGTAAAGGGTAGTATATGACAGTGGTCGGCAAATCGACGCTCACGAGCGGTAGTTTCTCCGACCACTGGTAGGAAGTGCATGCCTGTGGGGAAAGAAGGGTGTGGGAGTCCTGGGCATGCTCTTGGGAAGGGGTGTGCATGTGCTGGGACCTTCGTTTTGAGGCATTTAAAGACAGGGCGTTTAGGGGGATCTCAATAGAACATTCATCATCTTTATGCCAATGAACCAAAATGAGGTTTATTCTCTTCATCTGTCCTTGGGTGTGGTTAGCAAGTGGCACTAGTTGAATTTCTGCTGACTTCCTGAGTAGGTTGACTTCAGCTATTTACTCTCTGGTGGGGAAGGAAAAGTACAAACCATTTATTCTTAAGTGTCCTTGGTTTAGAGAA